AACCCCACTGCCATTCACACACCCTCTCTACCCCGGTGGAGAGACCGTTACCCCTTATGATCCTAACTAGAGGACAATCCATTCCAGTTGAAAGCCAGTTTATTCTTTCTTTTTTTTTTTTCCACATTGCCTGTCAATCCCTACTCAGCAGAAAACATTAGAGTAATGAAAGACAATTCAATATAAATTATCCCCGCTTAAAAAAAACAAAGAGAAATGTAGGGAAAAAATGAGTGGAGCTTCAGAGAGATGTGAGCAAACACAAAATAATTCAAAGGCTTGTACAAAAATGAGAAGGATAGATATGGCATGGGAGATACTCAAAGAATTAACTGTCTCTTTAGTTTCTCACAAATTTGATGAGAATTTCTAATTATCAGGTCCAAAAAAATTCCTGAAAAAACTCTGAGCAAGATATATTGGAACCACATAATAACCAAATCTCAAAAGTCACGAGAACTCAAACAGGAAAGCCGGTGGAAAGATAGGCATGGGGAGGAGGCCCAGGGGGAGGGGTAACCTCAACTAAAATGGTGTGAAGAAGTCATATGGAAAGCAAGAACTCTGTCAGCTAAGCAAATTACGTACGTTTCTGAAAAGTCGCGAGAGCAGAGTTAGTTGCACACTGCCTAAAGGGAAAAACCAGTAAGAATGGTTACTCTCATGCACTCAGAGATCACATGAAACCCGAAGACAGGGAAAGACACTTAAAATGTTCAAAGACAAAGCTTTTAGCTCAGGGTCTTTATAGTCATTGAAAACGTTTTTCAATCGTGAACCAACAATCACTAAGAAAAAGCTTTATTCCCCCCCTCTCAAGTGTGGAGAATGAAGCCCAGAGCATTAAGCCACAAGCAAAGCCTTACTACTGGGCAGTGGTCTCAGCCCCTCAACAGGTTATCATTGACTCAGCCCCTCAACAGGTATCATTGAATAAATAGAATAGACAATCACTGTCACCAAGATGCCTCTCCTTCACGAACTGCAACAGGAAGCTGTTTGAGCTGAAGGGAGATAGTACGAGGCAACCTGTGGGGAAAGGGAAGGGTGACATGGGCCCCTGTCTCCACCGACTGAAGAATTTCCATCTCCATGCACTGTTGGCTCTACTCTGCTGAGTGGAAAGCAGAGTAACCCCCACCAGCAGGAAGAAATCATCAACCTGTCACTCTGATATGGAACTCAGCCAAGATGAGCAATGTTGTTATCCAAAAGCAAACTTTATGTAGTTACACGCACCTGTAAGACCAGGACTCAGGCTGCAAAGGTAGAAGATGAGTTCAAAGCCAGTCTAGTTATTAAGAAAGACCCTGACTCAAAAAACAATGTAAAAAAATGCAGGTTGACTGCATAAACTCTAAGCTTCACCCCTAAATAAATTGTCACACTTGACCCAGAAGCCAGAATGATCTAAACCAGCCAATGGCTGCATCTACCTCTGTTCCACGTTCCTGCTACCCTATTGTTGGCACTTTCTAATTCCTTGGAGGCTGCCTTATTATTATTCTCTCCTGCTACAGGGGCTTTCAGATACTCCTGGACCAGCTACCTACCCCACCTCCTGCCTTTGGGTCACCAAGCTCAGTCACCTTCCTTCACACTTCTCTGAGAGCTGTCCCTGACTGTCCCCATGAAGGGTCTCACAGCACTTACTTCCCCTCCATGGAACAGAGAAATGCCCTTGCCCCTGTGACTGTTGGAATTGCTGTGACTTTCAGCGTGACTGTCTGTCAATCAGAGGGGGGCAAGACTAAGACTCTGCTTTTCCTCCTTTCCTACTAAAACCCACCGCTAGGCAGAATGACAACGTGTGAGTAAACATTTATCAAGTGAAAGTTTATCAAATACTGATAAAAGTTGATCTAGGGTGCTCTCCAACTCCCTCCTCAAGACTGCTGCCATTTGTAGTAGGAAACCCTGCTCCAGAAGTACCTTTGGAGCAGCAGGGACCACACTTCACAGGTCTGTGTGAATTCCAGGGGAGGAAACAGACCTTTGAAGCCAGTCTGTGGAGAAGAACTACAGAGCTAGCTCTGCAGGGGTTCAAAGCAAAAGCTGCATCTTTGAAGAGAAAGAAAAAGTCTCCACTTATTTTTAAACCTTTATAACCAGGAAGTGTTGTACCAGAAGATACAGAAATAGCTGGGAGATGGCAGCAGTCCAGTCATTTATAACTTTCTTTTTCATTCTTCAGGGGAATTTTTACACATATGAAACTTTAGAGAGGAGTGTTATTCTCTTCAGCTGCAGCGACTTCTTAATTTTCTACCTTAGCAACTGAATGAGAACAAGACCTCCCTGATGCATCACCAGCAACTGGAGAAGTTTCCCCATGTCAGGCATGAAGCTGGCTAAGGCCATGATGTACTTTTGCTCTCCTGAAGCTTAAAATGTACATTTCCTTGCATGTGGGGAAACTTTCTATCAGCTGGGGTGCAAGCATGTCACTGGTGTTCATGAAAGTTTTCCTCTTTATAAACAGGACCCCCCCCCAGCACTGGTTGTTCAGGGGCTGCCGGCTGCCTTTCTTTCAGACTTTGGGGACTTGGTGAATCTCAGAAAAGCTATCAGAGGCATTTGGAAAGGATTGGCTCTTCAGCTCCGCCCTTTAAAGGCTCAGGTGTTAGAATGTTCTCCTCTTGAAGAGAATCCTTTAAGGGTATGGGGCATTTTTGCAGTTCTACCATTTTTTTTTTTTTAGATCTTGCTTTAGAGTCTAGAATAAACAGATCTTTGTTAAGACCGTCTTTTATTCTTCCAGACTGTTACATGGTGTTCTGTTCTGCCAGGTGTTATGACTCACCAGCAATTCCAGAGAGCTCAAACGACAGAAGATGCATCTGAGCTAGGCCCACATCCAGGTCTACAAGCACACACTTCCTTGCCAAGGGATGCGACCCAGGTGTTTTTCTTAACGCATTCTCTCTGCTCCCATGCAATCCATAAGTGTGCATACGCTCATGTGTGTGCAGACTTTATGCAGAGGCATGGTTCAAACACCACACTGGTGTATATAAACGCACTCCCACTCACAGATTCAGACAAGCATAGCCCAGCAGTAGATTTAGGATAGATGTTAGAATCTCCCCAAAGCAGGTTGGAAAGATGGCTCAGTCAGGAAAATGCCTGTCATACAAGCATGAGGTCTCAAGTGCATGACACCCCCACGCTGAGGGCTTAGATAACATGGATCCCAGGGTCTCGGTGGTCATCCAGGCCAGCCAAATTGATGAGCTCCGGGTCAGCAAGAAGCCCTGTCTGGAGAAATAAGGTGGAGATTAACAGAAGTCTGGTGATACTCCATATTGACCTGTACCATAGTCTCGAAGCAAACAAGCTAATTAAAAGCCCCAGGACCGAATCCCACTTAGAATAGTTCAGGCACATTTTTAACTAAAGTAACATGGGTGAGTAAACCTCCTTTAATTGTGTCAGTCGGTGCTGTATATCTGATATTGAAATACTGTCCCAGCAGAGGACAAGCAGTTACATATGCAGCATTTAAAACGGATGCTAAAGTGCCAAAGACTCCTAATGGGAGACTATTCATCTGTATGAGTCTTGATCTCCTCATCCCTCTTACCTGAATTGGCTGCAGTGAACAAGGAGCTCCCAAGAGGAGGGGGTTGCATACAGGTACTCAGCAAGCTGGCCCTGGGGCCACCATAGTGCCTCAGCCAATATCCTCTGCACTCCCTGCAACTACAACAAAGCCCGGCGAAGAAGGGAGCCACAGCTCAGCTGGTTTCACAGAGCTGCTCCGGCCTCAGTGACCTCAGTCCCTGTCCTGGCTAGTCTTAGGTGGATACTAGCTAGAGCCATAAGAAAGGAGAACCTCAACAGAGAACGATGCCTCTATAACTCCCAGCTGTAGCACATTTTCTTAACTGGTTATTGATGTGGGAGGGCCCATCCCAGGGGTGGGTGGTGCCACGCCTGGGCTGGTGGTCTTCCGTTCTGTAAGAAAGCAGGCTGAGCAAGCCATGACAAGCTAGCCCGTAAGCGGTAAGCGGCTCCTCTCCATGGCCTCTGCACCCGCTCCTGTCCCTGCCCTGACTGAATTCTTTCTTGTCCTGGCTTCCTTCAATGATGTGCTATCGTTGCGCCCAAGTTCTGAACCCCAAAATCACCAAGAGGCCCGTTTCGATGCAAAAGCGAAGAGTCTTATTAAAGTCATTTAACTAACTAACCCCATTAGCTCAGGCCCTTTCACCCCGGCACCATGGCGGATGGCCGGAGAAAACACCCCAAGAAATCACGAGGCAGGGATCTTAAAGGGGAGTGTCCAGGGGTATGAAACAGTCTCAGGACTGGTGTGCTTCTAAGTTTGGATGACCTGCCCTGTGTTGATTTGTCAGCTGGTTGCTAAGGCCCATAGGCCCTCCCAGGGTGGTTGCTATGCTCTGCACATCACTGTTGTGCACTTGTCCGTAAAGCACAGCCCTGCCTGCTAACTTCTGATTGGTTCCTTGCCACGAGGAGGGCATCTGACCTCCTAGTGACCAGGACAGGAACCGCAAGGTCATGCAAGCACATGGTAACCTGTCATGGCTGCTAAAACGGGGAGACTGGTCACTACACTATAATAGTGGAAGGGGAAATCAAATAAACCATTTCCTCCCCAAATTGCCTTTTGGTCATGGAACTTCATAGGAGCTCTCAGTCCCTGTCTTCACTTCTTAGGAAAAGTTCTCACAGCAAGCCTCCCAGTTCAGGATGAAAGGGTGCATACATCTCCTCCCTTGTTTCCACTTACATTCTTCTGCTGTGTAGCGAGGGAGCAAGCAGCTCTTAGCCAACATTCACAGTGGAAGACACGAGACCCCCATCGTGGGCCTGTTTGTGGGCCCTGCGTTATCTAATAGTCTAGGATCTAAGTCAGAAACGACACACATGTAGCCTGTGACAGCTACGGCTTTATGATGCGAGTGACCCGCAAACAAAATAGCCTGTGCCCCTTTCCCCTGTGATATCCAACAAAGACCACAGAACAAAGGAAAGCAAGGGCAGGTTGGTATTTAATTTCTTCAAACTGAGTTTCCCCTCTGCTCTGTTGAGAATTGCTAGACACTGGAAATACACACAACCTCAGGGTGGGTATTGCCATTTACCTTGGTGAGCCTTGACTTAAACAAACACGGAATGGAAATGCATTGAAATCTGTCATTCTTGGTTTTCTTTTTACACCTTGAAACTTCTGGGTATCATCAAAATGGTGCCCTGAACTGCAAATCCAGCAGTGGTGAGTTAGACACCTTTGCTGAGCACTAAAGCTCCTGGGGTTCACACTCTCTTTCAGGGCTGGTATGAGTGGACTCTTATTTGGATAAACCCTGGAGAGAGGCCACAGGGGCTTCAAATACATGAAGGGTCCTGTATTGTTTGTGATATAACGATTACAGATTCAGCATTTTCTTTGTTTTTTTTTTAAGCTTTGCTGAGATACTCAAATACAATTCTCTCTGAGACATATTTAGTACTTGAGCAGCAATATTTCTACCAACTGCAGGCAGGCTCTTGGTCTCAATGCCTCTGGTGTCACCTCCGTCATCACCACTCAGCTTCTGTTGAAGAGAAACAATGATCCAATAAATACGTTTCATTGTTATTAAGATAGGGTTAGTATTGAGTAATATTCACACTATCCTTTCAGCCAATAATTCTTTCTTCATTTATTTTTTTTAAGTTGAACAATTTATTACCTGCATATCATAACGGTCAAGGTGAGCAGTGGCTGTGTGTTATGCATGTTAAACACATAGCCAAAAGACACTCTGTTTATTTAGTAATTATTATTGTTTTTGTTGTTATTGTTGTTCTCAGTACATCCTGACCATGGTTTACCCTCTCTCCACTCCTCCCTTTCCGCCTGTGCCTTCCCTCTTCCCCAGATCCACTCCTCTGTTTCCCTTCAGAAAAGATCAGACCTCCCAGGAATATCCACTGAACACAACATAAAAAGATAAAACAAGACTAGACACACACCCTCACGTTGAGGCTAGTCGAGGTAACCTAGTCAGAAGAAAACAATCCCAAGAACAGACAAAAGAGTCAGAGACAACCCTACTGCCACTGTTAGGAGTTTCACAAAAACACCAAGCTAACCACCATAACGTATATGCGGAGGACCTGGCACAGACCCATGGAGGCACTGTGCTTGTCACTTCAGTCTCTGTGAGCTCCTATGAGACCTGCTTAATTGAAGTCTGTGGGCCAGAGACACTATCTACAAGCAAAGCTTTTCAAAACTGGACTTAACCACTGTAGGTCACCAAAGAGCTAGTACAGAATTTTGAATATATGTCAACAACAACAACAAAACCCTCTCCAAAGTATACTTTCTCTGTGTGAATTATTTCAACCTTGTATTTCTTTTGAGGGATTGGCAGTTTTCAAGTAATAGCACAAGATAGTAACTATACAAAACACAGAATTTAGTTCTAAAACACGACTATTTATCAGCTCCCCAAACACATACATAAACATATATGTTTACAGATGCATATATATAAACCTGCACAAATCAGCCTCACTTATGAAAATGTAAGGAAGCTCAAAGCAGCAAATCCTGAGTCATCTTAAATGAATTTTAACCCTGGAACTCTGTTACATATTAGAAACTAGGGTTGGGAATGTGGCTCTATGGGGTTCAAGCCAGTGCACTGAAAAAAAATGAGTGATTGTAAAAAAAATTTTAAACTGGATCCTTTAAAAAAAATGTCTACTGCTGCCAGAAATGGTGTTACACACCTTTAATCCCAGCACTCAGAGGCAGAGGCAGGAGGACGTATGTGAGTTGGAAGCCAGCTTGATCTACATAGTGAGTTCCAACTATGGGAGGATAACTCCTCAACAGGTTTGGGACCTGGGTTTGATCATCAACACAGCAAAACAAAAGATTGATTTAGGAACAAATTAAACATATTGTGAAATGTCTCAGTTACGGTTTCTATTGCTGTGAAGAGACACCATGACCAGGGCAACTCTTATGAAGGAAAACACTTCACTGGGTGGCTCACAGTTTCAGAGATTTTAGCCCATTATCGTCATGGTGGGACTTGGCGGGTGTGCAGGCGGACATGGTACTGGAGAAGGAGCTGACAGTGGAGAAGGAGCTCTATTTTGCAGCTGAGGACTGTGAAGCCACAGTGCTGATTATCCTCAGAGTGCCGGCCGCAAATGGAACTCAGAGCCCCAAAGAAAATATGTAGTTACAATGATGAGCGATAGCCTACAGGCCACAGGAAGTTAACTATCTAACTGGGTGTAGCTTGAGCATAGGAGACCTCAGAGACGACCGCCACGGTGACAAGCTTCCTCCAACGAGGCCACTCCTACTCCAACAAGACCACACCTCCCTTTAGTGCCACACCCTTTGGTGGCCATTTTCTTTGGAACCGCCACAGAAACTTAAGCTGCAGTTTGCTCACAGCTGCCCAGCACCACAGTCTTCTCCCTGTGGTCAAAATATGCTAATCACCTTGTAACCCACCAGGAGTCAGATAATACCCGAGCTGCTCCATGCCTACTCAGAGAAAGAAGTCCAGCGTGTCTCACAGAGATGATTTGGCAGCATCAACTTTGGATATTTACCCTGGTCGCCATGTTCATCAGTTGGGAGAAGGAGTTGTCAGGCTTCCAATCCACCTAAGCTGATGGGTTTGCTGCAGTGTGATGTTAATTAACTGCTTTGTAAATACCTCAGCCAGTCTCCTTGCTGCAGGGATTCTCCGGATCTTTCACATTTTAATGAGCACTGGGACTCTGCAGAGGAAGACAAAGAAAAAGAACTTGCAGCCTCTTACAAATGTATTCACCCCCAGGTTTTATTTTTTTACTGAGCATAGCACAATTAGTCGAGAGTCTTTCCTGTGCCAGACATAAGAGAGAGCTCCTAGGCGTTTTTTCAACACAGCTTTAGCATTCAGAAGCTCTCAAAGCAGCTACTCCGTGAGGCTTTCTTGAGGCAAGCACCAGCTTTGACTTTCTGGAGATGGATTAAGTATGAGCGGCAGCCATTAAAGCTCATGGAAACCGATGAGAGGTTTGCCGGACTTCCTTGATGTGTATGTTCAGTCCACTCTGGCATCTCCAGTAGTGAGCTGGATGGGTTTTAGTTCCTGTTGTTTGAAATTATGTACTCCCTCCTCTGTGACCCACCTGAGTTCTCTCTTTCTGTCGCACGCCATTTAAACCTTGTTAATTAAGTGAAGCATCCTAACTCCCGAACTTGGCAAAAATAAAACAAATGCATTGGGAACCCTGCTGGGTATTTGAAAGGTTCAGGCATTACGCTGGCCTGCCCTGTTACCTGGCAAGATGCTCTCAGGCAGCACTCTGGCCAGGCCAGAGTTCTGTGAGAACCACCCAGGTGCAAAGGACCCCTTTAAAGGACTGACCCCTGCCCGTTTATGCTCTCTTACTCTCTTACTCTTGTCTTCCTCTCCATCTCCCCCCCTCTCTCAATCTCTCTCTCTCTCTCTCTCTCTCTCTCTCTCTCTCTCTCTCTCTCTCTCTCTCTGCTCTGCACAGGTTGGTTACCTCTCACCCCCCTTTCCCTCCCTGTCTACCAATAAACTCCACGTGGGATCCTTGAGTCACGGTTTGTGTCTCCTTACTGGATAAACCTAAACATTTTAACAACAGTATTGCCAACACCCTCACATTTGCAGCTGAGGACTGTGAAGGGCAAAGGACACACGCTTTGTGCAAAGCCACACGGCTGATTATCCTCAGAGTGGCATCTGCATATGGAACTCAAAGCCCCGAAGAGTATATGTAGTCACAACGATGAGTGATAACCATTCAGCATTCTCAACCTGGTAGCATATTAATTCATGTGTAATTTTTCCGTCCTGTGTAAGCAACTGTTCTATGGCTGCATAGACACACCATGGCCAAGGAAACACGTAGAAGAAAGCGTTTCATTGGGAGCTTGCTTGCAGTTTCAGAGGGCAAGCCCATGACTATCACCTCATTCCATTCCCTGCCTTCCAAAGGCTTGTAGCCATATTATTGAAGAAAAGAAGGAAGGAAGGAAGGAAGGAAGGAAAGAAAGAAGGAAGGAATGAAGGGGTGGAAATGACTGTTTCTGGGTATGGTGGAGGAGAAATTTTATTATAGGTAAAAGGGACCTATAATAGGTAGAGGCAGGGACATCTGGGAGAGTCCAGAGTGGACATGACTGTCACGTCAGCTGTGCGGCCTGTGTCCGAGAACGTTGACAACACAGAGACTCATTCAACGATGTAAAGAAAACTTTAAGCAGGCCCCAAAAAGGTTCAAGAAAACTTCCTAAGAAAGGCTCCCTCCAGAGAAGCTTCTGCTCTCTCCTCTACCCTGGCTGGTTCTGCTCTGACACCAAAAACTGATCTGGGCATGTCAGAAGAGGCGGTTAGTCTTTGGACAAGGTCGAGGTCAGGGCAGTTTCCGTGGGGAGGCCTTTTCCAGGAACTTATTGCCCCGGGCATTGTATTGATTTTGGTAAACATGTTTTTAGTAAACATTGTCTTACAGCTGCCTACTCCCAGGCCGAAGGGGAAGTGGGTCTCTGCTCAAGGTCTGGTGTCCCCACAATGACCATACTGAGCTGGGCTATGTGGGAAAGGGAGGGGCGGGAAGGGATAGGGGAGAGAAGAGAACCAGGTCCATCAGTCAAGAGGTCAAAGGAACAAAAGTAGCAGGTACCTAAAATGTCTGTATTATATAAGGAAGAGCCTCTGGGGTTAGAGCAACCTGGGCTGGAGTTTAGGGTAGAGGCCAGGATATGCCAGCCATACCCTTTCAGCCATAGGGCCTGAAAGATGCTGGGAGAACTTGGGCGTGGCCAGGTCTGCTTTGATATGTTAGGTAGGCACCTCAGCGTTTGCCCTGGGTTTGGAACCTAACTATCACAAAGCAAACTTCAAAAGTCCCCGCAGTCTTTCAGTATTGCAGAATGCGAAATCCAAATCTCTTTGGAGACCCAAGACAGTCTTTTAATTGTGACCTTCTATAAAACACAAGAGCAAATCACATACTTCCAGCACGCAGAGGCGCCGAATATCCGTTCCCTTTCCAAGAGAGAAGACTTGGACAGAGCGGGGTAGACTCTAAAACCTTTAGCTCTGTGCCCCATGCCAAAGGACTCAGAAGGCACCGCCCCTCCAGCTTGGCTTTGCTGACTGCAACACTCTTCTCTCTCTTGGGCTGATTCCACTTCCCGTCTGCAGCTCTCCCTGGAGGACATGGCTCTGCCACCTCCAACCTCCTGGGGTCTCCACACAACCCAGGCTTCCCTTTCACAGCTCCACAAACGGCCCCTCTGGGCCTACGCATGCACGGAGACTCTCCTGCCACACCCGGGGCCTCAGAAGCTTTCCTTATCTGAAGAGGAAGATTCCCGAACTCCTTTCTCACTGTGTCGTCGTGATTCTCAAGCCTGGGCCTCTTGGTCTGTGCTGCTAAATTCACCTGCCTGCTAGGTGTGGAGCATGGCTCCCTCTTTGAGTAACTTTTGCACAAGCTTCAACTGGCTGATGTTTTCCTCTTTCCTGTTACAGGATTAGCTTGGGTGGGCTCTTGTCTTGAGGACACTGCTTCCTTTTATTCCATTTAGCAGCAGGGCTCTCCTTTTCCCCCTCAGCACAAGCCTGGGCTCCATCGTCAGAGTTCCGGGTGCTCTCTCTGTCTCCTCAAACTGTACAACGTGTAATCTCTTCTTGTCTTACTTGCTCCTTTTCATTGTAGACCTGCGTAAGAGTGATTGCTAATAATGACACAGCATAGTCAACGTTAAGGAGTCCTGAAATCTCTACCAAAGAAATTGGTCCCAAACTCTTAGCCTCAGGCAGATTCTTAGGACAGGGAAAGAAAAAATAATAATAATAAAAAGATAAACAAAACAAAAAACACAACCAAAAAAACAGCTATACTCTTTACCAAAATATCACAAGAATTGTCTCTAGCCTAGTTGCTACCCTGCCCCCTCCGGAATCTCTCTAGTCCACAGTGGTCTCAGCGCTGCATCTTCTAAGCTCCTACTGGACTGGTCCATTAAGTCCATTTAGGTCATTCAGCTGCTTTCCTAGTCTTCCACATTCCTCCCCAAACCAGCACGGTTAGGCCTGTCATAGCAATACACCACTCTCCGGTACCAGCTTCTACATAAGTTACTTTTTCTATTGCTGTGGAGAGATATCATGTCCAAAACCATTTATAAAAGGTAGATGCCGGGTCAGGGGAGATGGCTCAGCAGTTAAGAGCACTGACTGTACTTCCAGAGAGCCTGAGTTCAATTCCCGGCAACCACATGGTGGCTCCCAACCACCTTGAAGGAGATTTGGTGCCCTCTGCTGGAATGCAGTACAGAAGATTGTATACACAATAAAATACATAAAATCTTTTTTTTTTTTAAAAAAAGGTAGATGCCTTTAATTCCAGCATGGGATTAGAGCAGGGAGTGTTCAGAGACAGGTGGATGTCTGTGAGTTTGAGGTCAGTCTTCTAACTGGGGCTTGCTTGCAGTTCAGAGGATGAGTCTATACACAACCTGGCAGGGAGCGTGGCAGCAGGCAGGCATAGCGCTTGAACAGTAGCTGAGAGCTTACATCTCATCCGCAAGCACAAGGCAGAGAAAAAGAACACTAGCAGGGAATGGCTTGGGCTTTTAAGATTTCAAAGTCCTCCAGAAGGCCACACCTCCTCCAATAAAGCTATACTCACTAATTCTTCCCAAACAGTTCCAGGAACTGCAGACCAAGTGTTCAAATGCATGAGATGATGGGGACCGTTTTCATTCAAACCACGACACCTCCTGAGTATCCCCCATGTACTTGGGTTGGCAATTTGGTAAGCATGATACCATACAGCCAAATGCCTTTGGCTTGAAAAGTCTCGTACTTCTCACACTTAACATTAAGTAGAACACTGATTTTCAGTGTTAAATTGCTGATATTTGTGTATTTAACATATTTTTTTTCTACTGATGGGCATTACTTCCATGAAGCAGGAACTGCCTGAATGCAAGCTCTGAAACACACGTTTCTGTTTTCCTCATCCGTGTACTGACCGGTTCGTTCATTTATTGCTCACCCAAGACCAGTGAGTGGGTTTATATTTTAAATGTCAGCTGTGTGTCCTCTGTGGGGGGATACAGCTGGGTTTGTAAAAGACTTTAAAATCCCATTCCCAAGAATCCCATAGTTGGAGAACAGCCACGAAGTAGTAAAAAGTAGCATATGTGTACAAGAACCGGGCCTGGGGAAACAGTACTTCAAAGGTGACACTTCTACAGGCTATTCTTTGAGTTGAAATCACAGCCCTCTCAGACCCAAGGTCTCTCTCTAACCTTCATCCAAAGCCTGTCTTGTAAAGGGAGGCTTTTTCCTTGAGAGAAGCCTTCCCGCCAGCCTGGTTCCAGAGCCGCATCAGTCCCAAATAAACACACAGGAAGCTATATTAATTATGAAGCTGTTGGCCTTGCTTGTTTCTTACTGGCTAGCTCTAACTACCCCATAATTGTTAATCTAAGTATTTCTCTTACCGGGGAATAGTTCCAGGCTTCCTACCCCATGGCATTACATCTTGACTCTCTGTGTTTCTCCTTCCCAGAGTTCTCCTGGACTCCTAGTCCCACCTATCTTGATTCCCTATTGGCCAGCAGTGCTTTATTGACAAATGCACAGGACTTCCCCCCAACACTGTCTCCTACCTCTGTCTCCTTATTTTAGTTACTGTTCCGTTACCTGGAACAGACACCATGACCTAAGTAATTTGTAGAATGG